AAAAGCATATTTTTGACCCAAAATCAAAAACGCATTCTGGATATTTAAAATAAAGACAAGTTTTACAAAGTTTGTATAATAAGCTTTCAGAAAATATATAACATGTTGGATATATAATACCATCTTCATTGTCTAATTACTCAATTAAAAAGCAAGTCAAATAAACTGCATCTCTACCTTAATCAAATGAGAGTTGTCTACACCAAAATAAGTTTCAAATATTTGTCCACACATTTATTCTCTCAATTTAACAATTTGTAATTTGTGGAAGTAAATTAAATGCGACTTTTCTACACCAAAATAAGTCTAAAATATTTGTCCGCACATTTATTCTCTCAATTTAACAACTTGTAATGGTGTAAAATAATTAAACGAGAGCTGTCTACACCAAAATAAGTCTAAAATATGTATGGGCAACGGAATTATTAACAGGAACTTGTCTTGGCATTAGGGTTAGGATCGGGTCAGGTATGGGCAACGCAAATGGCAAACACTCAATTGGCAAAATGTACACTAACGGGTTATGCCATGTATATAGTTTACACAAGTAAAAACACAAAATTGCCAATTTTTTGGACAATTGTAACTCATTAATAGAAATATGTTGTATTTCTATATATATACACACTATATACTCTTATCAAATGCAAACACAACCAGTCAAAAAGGACTTTTAAAATGTATTGACCCACAAATTAATGAATATCCATGAGCACAGAAAATGCTACGTCATGAATAAATTAGCGTAATTAAAAAAAATTGCATAAAGTGTAGGTACGTCTTCTGGAGTCCTGCCTATGTTTCTTTGGTGTAACTTTTCCTAGATCTGGACTCGGACGGGCACACAGGCAGATGAGTGGAGATATGGTCAACGAGATTTGCATATGAAATCAACATATAAAATTATATTTGAAGCTACAAGGATAACACATCAGCGGAGTGATATTGCTATTGATGATTTGTCTTTGCATTCCGGGGCGTGTCCTCCACATCGTAAGAGAAGCCTAATTGTCACCTTTACATCGTTAATTATACTAATTATCTAATTACATATGGAACTTAAAATTCTCGGTTTAGAGCTTACTGTTGTCATTGTTTTAATAAACTAGGTGAGTGTGATTTCGAGTACGACTTTTGCGGGTGGACTAATACGGATAAGTATGGATTACAATGGTTACAAGGAAGCAATGGTACCGAGACAGAGGGGACAGGTCCAAGTATTGACCACACTACAGGAACAGAAACAGGTGAAACATAATTCAAAATATAATGCATATTATGTGCTGTTGGTTGTGCGATTATCAATTTACCGTGATCTACAATACTCTCAACTGGTGGAATGTCACACTTCTATTGTGTCAATGTAGGTCACTTTGCATATATTGAAACAACGTCAGCTTTGATTGGTCACTCCGCAATATTGACAACCACAGAGTTCACATCAGATATTGATCGGTGTCTGACATTCTGGTATCACATGTACGGTCAAGATATCGGATCACTGCATGTTTATCAAAGTGACGTTGGCAACGTATCATCCACACCAGTTTGGTCAAGAACGGGAAACCAAGATGATATGTGGAGAAGAGGTACTGTTCCTTTGCCTATGGAACCAACAGGCAATCCGTATTTGGTAAGTGTGACGTGTGAACAAACACGATCTGCTTTACCCAATCGGCAATTACTTTATCCATGTTGTATAAAGTGGTTGTGACGAAACGTTATCCATTTATAATGCTGTGAGTTTGTTTCTAGGTATCATTTGAAGGCGTTGTTGGCAATGGTACACTAGGAGACATAGCAATTGACGATGTTCTAGTAGATGATATTCCCTGTCAACCAGAAGGCTGGTGTGATTTTGAAATGAATACATGTGGTTGGACCAATGATCTTGTAAATGATGATGATTATGATTGGATACGAAATGCAGGCACTACTCCTACAAGTAATACCGGACCAAAGGAAGACCACACTATTGACACTGGCAAAGGTGAGCAATGGAACACCATAATAATATTTGTTGCTGGGTCTAAGTGATAACAAGTTTCCTAAAATATTAATATTAATATTACAAATTTCTTGAAGTGGCACAAATCAAATGCGTATATTGAAAAACAAATCAAAACGAACATTTAGAAAAGTTGAAATCAAGATCATCTGACCCATCACTAGGTTGGTCATTCTCGTCAAATACATTTTGAGAAGTTACGTTGTTATACGTTGTTTTCTTGGATAGTTTGCATTGAAATATGACGCAACTTTTCAGATGATAAATTCGCAGCTAGTTTGTTGCCAGGTCGGGTCGCTATTACATTGATCAACGTTCAATCCACAAAGTGAGCATGATGTTGCTGGTGTGCATATAATTGAAAAAATATGTCACATGCAGTCACGATGCTTTGTAAACTTTAAATTAATGCACTACTATTGATGAAATACAACTACAGCAAGAGTAGTATGACGGGTCCGGGTGAGGAGTTATAACTGAACTAGCGTAGAATGAATATTCAGTTGGGCCGGCTATTACCACGTGGCGTATCAATAGACACGCCCATTAATTTTACCAGCGGTGATGAAACCAACGTCGAGTGTTACTAACGACACAACGGCTAGACTGTGGCTCCATGTTCTGAATCAATGTCGCATTTGAAATGTTTAGATTATATTATAATCGCTGCTGTTGGAAGTCTTTTCACGCAGCTCAATTGATTTATACTTATGTAAACGTCGTCGCTTTCAGAATTTCAGATGACCACTCATACCTTGTTCGCCAAAATCTTAAAAACGACAGTAATTCCGGAAGGGGTTATAGAACATACAACTACAAACAAACTATAAAATGTGTGGTTAAATAACTACATGTACAATGGTGAATAAAATCATTTCTGGATGTTTTTATTGGAAAATGCAGCATGGGAAAGTGTAGTTTTCTACAGAATGTGCTTTTCTCTGTAAAATATTACGAATGTTCGCAGCGGTCAACTGACGCCCTCTTCTGGTAGACAAATATGTATATCGACGTTAGCCAGTTCGACTATTGTACAATGCAAAGTAAAGTTATACAATGAAATGCATTATATCCCCATAACTCCTATCAGATAACTAGTTGATATAATCATGTATTAACAAACATTGCCAATGATTTGAAACTGTTGTTGAGTTCTCCTATCATCAAGTGCATCATCTTAATATGTAAACATCTTTAACATTTTTTGGGATGTGTTATGTCTCATATAAATCCGCATGGGCAGAAAATAATCATCGAACAACACAGTTATATGCTCTAGTAGCGTATAACAATGTTTACTGTTATTTCATCAAGATAATCTTATGACTCCTCGTGCATTATAGATTAATGTAAAAATGATCGATTCACGATTGTGTCACCTAACATATAGTCATCATTAATATAAGCAGTAAGTAATTACCAGTGATTTGGGGACAAATCCTTCCTTTGCTACTAAAATCATGTAATAACCATTAATGACTATTTTCTTGTCCGTAGGGTATTATATGTACATAGAATCAAGTGACAAGGATGTAGGTGACCGGGCATGGCTTGTTAGTGAACATTTACAGCCAACGTATGGTACGTTATAATCTCATATTCAGACCACATACTCAAATTTATGTTTAGTTGTACTGTTCTGATAATGTCCGAATAAGTTTCCTCTGCTTGTTTTTTTTTTAGAAAAATGTTTCACATTTTGGTATCATATGTATGGTACTGGTATCGGAATACTGAACGTATATGTCGAGTCGCGCAATAAACCTTCGTCACTGAAGTTCTCAACATCCGGTGATCATGGGGAATTTTGGCACCCTGGACAGATTACGGTGAACTCAACAGAAGAATACTGGGTAGGTTATTATTATTATTATTATGAAGACTATTATAATACCAGTACATTGACATGGGATTCAATACAGAAATTGTGTCAAACGTTCAACTCCATCTGGAACTTTTTGTTTTAGATTATATTTGTGGCTACAAAGGGTGGAACCAAAGGGGACATTGCCGTGGATGACACTGCACTGAATGATGGCGCATGTCCCACAACGCGTAAGTCATCAATACACTTCGGGGATATGTTTAGATTGACACCTGACTATTTACCTTTTTTATATTTGCCGTTGGACATGTATAACATGGAACAATTTTCATACTCCGTGTTTCAGTATTATGGCAAGGCACGAATTGGCCTAAGTAGTGCAATATCAAATATGAACAGTTATTTTAAAGTGATGTGAATTACTATGATTACACACCCATGATTGATATATGAGTTTATTGTATACGAACATATTTAGGAACATAACAAATCATGCTAAAATGCAGGTAATTGAATTAGATGAATAAATACGTGTTTAGTGTCTTCGTGTATTTGCCTAATGTTGCTGTGTAATTGCAGAATATGATTGTACATTCGAGGAAGATCTTTGCACATGGAGGCAAGACGATACTGATGACTTTGATTGGACCAGACATAAAGGTAGCACTCAGACATTATACACAGGACCAACGGTTGATCACACATTAGGCACAAGTGAAGGTAATACATATATGAGATAAAAATACAATGTTCTGCAATAAACCACACTCTAGAGAACATTACCAATACTATTTTACTTCGTGACTAACACAATAATATGTGGTGTTCGACACACATTATATTGCTTTGCTTAATGTATCATTATCTATGATCATTATAGTAAGCGCCTACTATATTAAGTTTTAGTTGTTTTTACCAAATCTCTACATAGACTATTGTCAACTATAATATATATAATGTAATGTAGTTTTCTTGATTATATATCCGTATTGTCAGGTTACTATCTCTATATTGAAGCAAATTCGGTTGATGGTGATGAGAGAGGTAGATTGATATCAGATGTTTTACCACCTACAACGAGTTCTGGGTATTGTCTACAATTTTGGTATCACATGCTTGGTAATATAGTGGGTGATCTAAATGTGTATGTTAGAGATTACTATGGTGTTGAAACAAAGGTATGTTTACATTAGACATTGGTGTAGAATCACCAGGATTTGACAAAAAACCTGTAATTGAAAAAAAAAACGAAAAAAAAATGCAATCAAATATTAATAATGTGCTCACGTAGCTCACTTTTTGATGCATAGATATGGTCACGTATGGGAACCCAAGCTGATGAGTGGAGATATGGACAACGAGATTTGCATATGACATCAAATTATGAAATCATATTTGAAGTTACCAGGATAACAAAGCAACGGAGTGACATTGCTATCGACGATTTGTCTGTGCATCCCGGACCTTGCCCTCCACACCGTAAGAAATTTGATAAATTATATAAATTGAACATACAATTATGTTGAACTGAACTGAATTGATACCATGCACTCAACCAATCGATCTTGAAATGGTTGTAATTTTAGGTCATTCAGTCTGATTTGATGATTCATTTGAAAACATATCACGTCAATTCAAATCGTTATTTTACGGAATAATTCCAAATATTGTCTCGCACCAGGAGCGTGTGATTTTGAGTATGATTTTTGCGGATGGACTAATAGCATAGACGGCGACGAGCTTTATTGGTTACGGGGGAGAAATGGTACTGAAACAACTGGAACAGGCCCAACGATTGACCACACCACAGGAACAGCTACAGGTAATCAGTTTCGCTTCATATCATATCACAATAATGATATTTTATTTTTTATAGCTGGCCATCGATGTTGCTGGCCCGGAAGATTGAACAAAACAACTCATCATTCAGACATAGTATACCTTATATCTTTATAATAAAATAACATTTAATTGGTTCTTTTCTTATTCAGGTCATTTTGCATATATCGAAACATCGACATCCACGATTGGCCACTCAGCAGTGTTGACTACTACTGAATTCACATCTGACATTGATCGTTGTTTGCGATTCTGGTATCACATGTATGGAGAAGATATCGGATCACTTAACGTTTACCAAATTGACATTGGCAATATATTCCAAACACCAATATGGTCTCGATCAGGAAATCAGGATGACATGTGGCGAAGAGGGACTATACCTTTGCCCGTAGAACTAACTGGTAATCCGTATCTGGTGAGTACAATGTTCTGAAACGTAGGAAATCATAATAGTGTTTTATTCTCTACATATAATCAACAGATACACTAAAGGCTGAAGCCGTAATTACGATAACTGAAACATATTATACACATACTTGGTCTTTTATGTGTGCATAATAATATTCCGTATGTTGTTTGTAACGTCAGAAGTTTGCTTTGCGCATGTACTTCTAGTCACTAACGGTCCATGCCACACGCTAACAGTGGCGAGATGAATTTCTCGTTTGTGAGAGAATCTCGTACTGCTTCTTCGTAATTTAATATTTCACACAAAATAACTTCATAGTACAATTATTAAAATCTAAGATATATTTGTGTGTAGGTTTGTTCTATAGAAGAACAAAACACACATCGGTAAAAACTTATTTAAATGATTATTTTAAATCACTACGTATATTATGAACGATATAGAAAAATAAATAAAGATAAGATATCTAATTTCTTTTAGGTAAATTCACAGTTCACAAATATATGAAAGTGTAAATCAATATTCATGAATTTGCGTTTATGTTGAATGTATAATGACACCGCAAATTATTGCTAGTTGTAACACGTTCAACGACGTTATTACCTTCGAAACCAATTGTCATTTGCATGGGTGTTCGACAACGTAGAATACTGCCATATGTAAAAAAAGAAATGGGAAATCAAGTTGTTGTTAACAATAAAACAGTTTCACATTCATGACATTGCTCATTGCGACTTTTCCACAGATATCCTTTCAAGGTGTTGTTGGCAATGGTACACTTGGAGACATAGCAATTGACGATGTTCTCGTAGATGATGTTCCTTGTCAACCAGAAGGCTGGTGTGATTTTGAAATGAATACATGTGGTTGGACAAATGAACTAGTAAAGGACGATGATTATAATTGGATACGGAATGCAGCCACCACTCCCACAGGGGGCACGGGTCCGAAGATTGACCACACACTTGGCACTGCAAAAGGTTAGTAACCTCCTGTTTTCCGAAAGAATCACAGTGACTGTTAATGTCTCAGAATTACTATATCTATGCAAATATATAGTGTAGTTGTTCTCTGTACACAATGTCAGTTATCTTATTTATTTATATAGGATATTACATGGTTCTGGAAACAAGCGATGGAAATATTGGTGACCGAGCGTGGCTAGTTAGTGAACATCTGCAACCAACATCAGGTAAGATGGTACAGAACAGAACCGATCAGATACAGAACTGCTTGATTTGACGTCGTTAATACTAGGGGCCGCTAATGTTACCGCAGTAACTGATTTTTTTATTTCAAATAAGGCATGTTTTTTAGCTCCGCTGTCGACGAAGTCGAGCGGAACTTATAGTATTACTGATTGACCGTCGGCGTCAGTCGGCGCTGTCGTTGTCGCCGCCGTCGTCGTCGTCGTCAACTTTACATTTTCGACTTCTTCTTAAAAACCACAAACTGTATAGCTGTGAAACTTTCTAGGAAGGTACCTTGGGTGGTTCTTTCTCAGATTTGTTCATTTCATGTGGATATGTTCAATTGGCTTATTTATAGCGAATATTTTTGTAATTTTTGGTCAAAATGCT